GGCGTCTCCGCTGAGGCATCTGCTCCGGAGAGCAGAGCTGTGGAGTCTCTGAGCTCACTTCCTCTTCCTCCCAGCGTTCTGTTCTGTTTACTCCTCCCACCTATCCTCTAACCAATAAAATGGGCCAGGGCAGTTCCTTTATTAGCCAATGACCTTCCTCCATCATCTCTCTCTCTCTCTCTCTCTCTCTCTCTCTCACTCTCTCACACACACACACACACACACACACACACACACACACACACACACTGGTAAGTGTGCATGCTCAGGCATACGGAGGCCAGGGCCCAGCCCCAGGGATTGTTTAGGAGCTGTCCATTGATTTTGAAGCAGGGTCTCTCTGTGGTTTGGAGATTGCTAATGAGGCTGACTGGCTAGGCAGCTCCGGGGTCCTCCTGTGGACAACCTCCTGTGTCCCAGCACTGGGATTACAAATGTGCAACATTAGGTCCGTTTTTAAAATCATGGGTTCTGGGGATTGAACTCATGTCCTTGGGCTTGCACAGGGAAATATCCCCTTGGCATACTTTTTGTCGGACATAACCCGAAACAGGTAGAAATCGAGATGAGAAGAATAAGGGGACCGGGAGGTTTATTTATGCTGTAGGCCAAGAGCACTTGGAGACCACAGTGATGAAGGATGGGTAAGCCAGCCTGTTTGCGGTTTGGGGTACTGATAGAAGACTTTCCCTGCCCCCTGATGCTTGTGAGAGTCTGTGATCACTGGTGCTGAGCACGAGGGAAGAAATATGGAAGAAAATAAAAAAAAGAAATTGCTCCTCAAGACACAGCAGGACTCCCTCTCTACCCTCTGTCCCTGGGATGATGAAACACATCTCACTCCATACTGGAGGGCAGAAATCCTTCCCAAGAGCAAAGGACTTCCACTCTGGAGTGAGATGGATCCAGAGAGAGGGTACTGGCCTTTAGAGCCCACAGCGGTCTGCTTTGTAACAACAGAGACTGCAGGCAGCATTTGTCAAATGCAAACAGCCCCAGGAGCCAAGCTATGGTATTCTTCCCATAGAAGAAACAGAGCCTGTGAGAAAGTCTCTGGGATGTTTGACATACTTCCCTAGCTGTCTTTGGGAAAATAAAATCGGCTCAGCCTGGAATAGTGCTCAGATTTACTTTGATGGGGAATGGGATCCATTTACCCCATCCTGTGTATTGATCCCCTTTGGTCATCTTAGGCACACTGCAGAAGTACAGAGAGAGAATCCGAGGCCAATTGGTGGTTCTTTCAGTGGGTTTATGGTCTAGGAAGTCTTTCTGGTGATTATAGATGAATCCCAGCACTGCGCACATATGGAATTTCAACTCTGGTACCAACCACCCCTACAGCATCACTTCGAGGAAAAGTGTGGGCAACCTGTATAGGGATGCCAACAGGACTGCACATTTAGGTTTGCTTTACTTACTGAGGGACATGAGGGTGGGGAAGTAGGAAATCTGCATCCCATACTACTCTCCGTTTACAAACTTTCTAGTTCACACAATGGTGTGTGGTAAATATTTTCTACGTTCCCTTTATTCTGATGGGGAAGGCTGGGAGCTTTGGGTCCAAAGACCCAAGTTTCTGGGAGATGCTGTTACTAACCACACAGTCCTGGGTTAACCTATTTGGTTTATGCTTCCATTCCTTATTTGTAAAACAAAGTCCATAAAAATGGTAACTAACTCCCACAAAGCCAGTATGTGCATTAGGATCAAAAACCCATTGCCATTGTTCTTGAGTTCTCAGTAGTCCTCATTGTCCGCTATGTTCAGCGAGTCCGGTTTTATCCCAGGCTTTTTCAGACCCAGGCCAGCTGGCCTTGGTGAGTTCCCGATAGAACATCCCCATTGTCTCAGTGTGTGGGTCTCTGTCTCTGTCTCTTTTCATCGCCTGATGAAAGTTAATATGGATGCTCACCTTACTAGACCTGGATGGAGGTGGGAGGTCCTTGGACTTCCCACAGGGCAGGGAACCCTCACTGCTCTTTGCACTGACAAGAGAGGGGGACTTTACTGGGGGAGTGGGGAATGGGAGGCGCTGGTGGGGAAGAGACAGAAATCTTTAATAAATAAATAAATTTAAAAAAAATAAATAATATGCTAGAATACAAAAAAAAAAATGGTAACTAACACCGGGTAGTGGTGGCGCACGGCTTTAATCCCAGCACTCCAGAGACAGAGGCAGGTGGATCTTTGTGAGTTCGAAAGCCAGCAGCAGAGTGAGTTTCAGGACAGCCAGGGCTACACAGAGAGAAACCCTGTCTCAAAAAACAAACAAACAAAAACAACAGCAACAAAAAGTGGTCACTACCAATAGGCTTGTTATGATGGGGATTGAGAGCTCATCTCAGGAGAAGTCAGATAGTGTAGTGTAGACCACATATGCTGTTACTGTTGTTTATAGACTCTACCCAGGACGTGGGAGTCCATTTCTGCCCAGAGAATTACTCAGAGTACAACACTAGCGTCAGCAGAATGAAGAAACATTCAAAGTCTTTCTAGGAAGTGGAACCCAGTGTCTTAGGCAGTATAAAAATACTCTGGGAACAATCTGCTACCCTCAAGAGTGTACCCACAGGAAGGTAGGGCTGGTTGGGCCAGGCCCATGAATCAAAGAACTTAACAATAACCTTGTTTTGTGTAAATTGAAGGAAATAGAAACATAATGAGTAATAGGTAGCGAAAAAAAAAATTAACAGTGACCCCGAATACCCGCCTTTATTTCCTGAAGTTACAATGAATCCTCATAAGATTGGACAGGCTTTGTCCTCACCCCTACCGCTGTTCTTGCCAGTCTCCCTTCCAATCTGGCATACTTTGGACACAATACAGCTGGTTTCACCTCCCTTCCAGTGGTCTTCCTTAATCCTAGTCAGAATCGAGGGGAGAAGAGAAGTAGCTCAACTGGTGAAACAGTTGCCTACAAGTAAGAGGCCCCAGGTTTGTTCATCATCATTGCATAAAAGGTTGCATGGAAAGGCAAGTCTATGATGACAGCACTTTGGAATGCAGAAAGCAGGCCATCCTCAGCTACGGAGCAAGTGTGAGGCTAGCCTGAGCTGCCTGAGACTCTGTATCAACGTCAAATGGGCTGCGCTGATGGCTCACCTTTTAACGATAAGCTGCTGGCAGCTCTGGTATTTGGGATCCATACAGGAGACCCAGTGCCCTCTTCTGGCTTCCATGGGTCCTGCATAAATCTGGTGCACAGGCAAAATACCCGTACACATAAAACAAAACAAAGCAACCTGTACACTAGCCCTAGTCCCTCAGCCCCACCCTACTTTGTTCTCTTTCTCTCCTGGACCAACACCTTTAACACACCAAATACTTCATTTATGTGGTTTTCTGTTGATCTACCACTAAGGGGATTAAATGCTTTCTTTGCTACTGTGTCCCAGGTGCTTAGGGCCAAAGCCCGGCTTCTGGCAGTGCTCAATGTTTGGGGAATGACTATCAGTGAATTCGCCAACTCAGTTCACAGGCTGGGCTGGCTGGGCTCCAGCAGAAGTCTCTCCAGCACAGCTCTTGCTGGCCATTTGACTCCTAGAAGGTATTTCACACAATTCTTTCAGTGAGTGTATCCCTGGCTTTGTTTGCTAAGCTGGTGTCATCAGATTACCTACACAGTGTAATGTCAGACGGGAGGGCAATGGAGCTCTTGGCCATGCTGTAAACTGATCTGAAGACTGTTGGGTTGTACTTTATAAAACGAGAGTACCAGGTTGCTGAAAAATTCGACTTCCTTTTTGTCCCCCAGGAAATTTTAGATGGCATTACTAGCTTATATTTTGTGATTGAAAATATTTTGGTGAAAGCATTGCTATTCCCCCAAAACCTTTTTTTTTATTTTATTAATGGCTCCTTGGGTTATCTTTTCTTCCCCCTTTTCTACATTTCCTTCAATAATCAGATATTACTTCAAACAAACCTTTTACTAGTCTATGAAATCTACACAGCTCCTTGAAAGGCAGAGAAATGTTTAAAGTTCCATCCTTATAGTCTTATCTCGTGTGTGTGTGTGTGTGTGTATGTGTGTGTGTGTGCCAATTGCTTGGGCAATAGACCAGTGAAATGTGAGAAGGACCCGGAATTAGGCAATTATCAGACAAGACGATTTTCTCATGTAAGGATCCAACGATATTCTCAAACCCTCAGTGGGTTGACTTTGCAATTCAGGCTGACAATGGGCCTGTGGGCTTCGAAGAGACCTCTATGGTACACGCAATGATCTCTTTGACATCTGAGAAGATGGTATGAGGTTCGCTTTAGCTGAACAAGAAACAGCAGCACAGCTGTGGCCACTTATGCGGTGTCCAGGACCAGAAGTTCCAGTGAAATCATGAAAAGCCGCATGCTGCATGAAACTGTTTCACACGCACCACCTAAGACCGCGGCTGTTTGGAGTTGACCTCTCTGATTAGCTGAGCTCCAAAGTTTTCTAAAAATGACATTAGAATGAGTTGTATGGCTCAGAAAAATCACTACTTTTCTCAGTCTCCAGAGCAGTGGTTCTCAACCTATGTGTCACGACTCCCTGTTACAGGGGTCACCCGAGAACATTGAAAAACACGGATGTTCTTGTGACGATTTATAACAGTAACAAAATGATAGTTATGAAATAGCAACGAAGATAGTTTCACGGTCGGGGTCACCACAACATGAGGAGCTGTATTAAAGCGTCCCAGCATTAAGAAGGTTGAGAGCCCTGCTCTACAGCCATGGAAACCCTTTGTCCTTACTTGGCTCATAGCTAGCTACTCAGGAGCTGAAATGGATGTGGAGGGGAAAGCATGGTGTATGTTAAAACCTGATTTGGTCAGGCCTCCTGGAGTCTAAGGTAGCATGAACACATCCCCCTAGAAGAATCATGATATAATAAAAAAAAAATCTTACCTTAGATATGCTAGCAAGATTATTCTATATTTTTAAAGTTATTAAATCAGAAACATGTACTCTGGTGGACAACCCACATTTCCTTCTGCAAAGGGTCAAGCATTATGTTCCTAGAAATCCTACATTGCTTTGTGTAATTCATAATATTTTTTTTTTAATTTCAAAAACTGTAGGCCACCAGTTCAGAATGTTAAAATCTTTAATACAATTGTAGCCAGGAATGTTTATGTAATTATATTGAAATCCTCATAGAAATCAATTCCATGGCTCTTCAAGCGGTAGTTTGCTCAGCCCAAACGTAGACAGGTTAGCAGCAGACTTATTTTAGATGGATAATGTCCCCACTTCCTCCGCCTGGCAACCCAGTAAACCCAGCTTTTGAATGAGTTTTAGGTCCAGGTAGCCCTTGTCAAGGGATCAAGGAAGGTAGCTTTCTTTATATCGTTAACACGACAAAAATCCACATACAAAAATTGTTTAATGATTATTCATGTAAGTAGATTTATAGAGACGGAAAATAATCCCACATTTTCTTTACCAGGCAATCAAGCAAAACACAGTAGTACAGGAGGCAAAGCCTTGGTAACAAGAACTGAGAAAGCATCGAGTGAGACGACACTGCCATCTGGAGGACACAGATGGAACTACAGAGCAGTAAGCAGCGACAAACAGGGCAACAGAAACAGGATAAACTGCCCTTGCGTCCTGGCTCGGAACTGTTTCAAGCTTCCAGTCGATGGCGACTTAAAAATTGAAATCGTAACCCTAACACCTTTAAGAACTTTAAAATTAGTTCATTAAAATTGAGTGTGATGTGGGCGCAGCCTGTATTCCTAGCTCCTTGGCTGACTGAGATGGGAGAATCAGGAATTCCAGGCCAGTTTGGGAAACACAGTGATACCTTACTCAAACACAACACAAAACAAAACACCCCAAACCAGAAACAACAACAGAGACAACCTTCACCAGCAAATAAAAGCCAGGATTCTGAAATGAGAAACAGGTACTTTCCCAAATGCATCCTGTTGGCCCCTCTTCTTGAACTAAGTAGGGCCTTATATAAATCCATAGAAATTTTATTCATAAGAGAATGTAAATGACTGACAGTTTAATCTTATCAGAGACATCTACATGTTAATGGGTTGCAAATCTTAATTAAAAGAGAAGTGACGACAACCAGAATTTCTCCCTTTCACTGTTTTTCCTTTCACATTATGCTGATTTGGGGGGCAGAAATCCCACTGCAAATCAATAGGCAGCCATACTCCTTTGTAGAATTCTTAGTTGTTACATTGAAACTAACCAGGTCTTTTCCATACTGAAAGACTTATTTTATCGGCTGTTGGAAAGGGAGCATGAAGACCTAAAACCCACCCATATTTATACTATTCTAACTAGATACTGATGTTTTGGGGGAAGATCACAGCCCCCCATCTCAATGCCTCCCAAATATCTATTATACATACACCGTTCCCTGGCCTGGGGATGTAGGTCAATGGAAGACCTCTTGGTTAGCAAGTCGGAGGTCTTGGGTTCAAGTCCCAATTCCGCAGAAATTGCTTTTTTTTCTTACCAACTTCCAAACCACTAGTTAGCAATGTTTGTGTAATTAAACTAAAAATTGAGTGTCACTATTTCATTGTTTACATGTATGGTGTCATCATGAACCCACCAGTGACAGAGTTCAGCTCAGCACTGGCCTGCAGGTGCACGGAAGAGCACTAGGATCTCTGTTCACAAGGCTGGGAGTGGTGGTGCACACCTTTGACCTTGCCACTTGAGAGACAGGTTTATTTCCAGAGTTCAAGGCCAGTCTGGTCTGCAGGACTTCTAGGCCAGCCAGAGCTCTAGAGTGAGATCTTATCTCAAAAAAGAAAAAGAAAAAAAAAAGAAGAAAAGAACAAAAATCTCTGTTACTAAACACCTCCACAGTTACAGTCAAGAGCACCTCCCCATCCCTTCCCTCTCTCACGTTTCTCACTTTTAAAAGAATACCAAGTCTTTGAATCCATAACAACGAGGACTCCCAACGGTTTCTGGTTCCCGTTTTAGACAGACCCTCTACTTGTAGCATTTCCATGACCTCCACCCCCACCCCCCCGCCGATCTCCAGCCATCTTTGTTCAGTTCAAACTGATTCAATTTTGCTAACCTTCCTTGCCATGAACTTGGGCCTAGACAAGCTTGTATAGACACTCGACTAGCGTGGAAGTTCAGATTCTTGACCATGAAGAAACCTATCTAGTAAAACAGTGCAGTAGACACGAGCTTTCCTGCTTTAAAGGCAGTAGGGAAGTTCCAGTTGGCCCTGCCCCCCTCCCATATAGATAATAGTTGTTTGACAAATCACTGTAGCTTTCTGGGGTTCTTCTTTTTTTTTCTTGTCTCAATAAACCAAAACATGAAATTCCATGGAGCATATATTAAATAAAATGTCTAGACATCCCCATGTATAAGGCACAAAACTCACAAACCTCTCACAGAAAGATGAACCAACACACAGACAAACAGAACCGAAGGTTTAAAGACAAGCAAGTAACTTCTTGGAGGAGAAAGTTCATAAAACTGGAATTGAAACAGATCACTTCTCTTTTTAGTACAGAGGGACCTTATACTGATAGGAAGCACAGCCTGGGAGCGGAGGGCATCACGGCTCTTCCTGGACCACGGCCTCCTTCACTGGGTTAACACGGAAGTCAGTCCTCAGAGAGACCAGTATGGCCAGAGCAAATGCGCCGCAAGCACCTCCCGTCTCACAGTGGCTGCTCCCAGCCATGTGACCCACAGTTCCTAGGGCCATCAGGTGCCTCATTCTTACACAAAGGACCTTCAGGGGCCAACCACAGTGAGCACATATTACCTGTCCTAGGACCTGTTTTAAGGTTTCTCCTCAAATCTGAGGCAGAACTCCCTGTTCGAGGACCCCAGATTGGGGTGGCTGTCTTGGTCCTTCATAGGACAGCATCTAACAGAAATCTGAACCAGGGTCTTAGCTTCCTCTTGAAATAATCAGACCCCTTGAGCAAGTTTAGAACTAAGCTTTTAAAAGAGTCTGTTCGAAGCTTCAGATAAGTAAGTTCCTGACCTGCAAGACAACCCTAAATAGCTTGCAGCTAATACTGCAGTCCACACAGAGAAACAAAAAGGTCCCCACTGGCAACAGACAGACAAGGGTATCCATGTTTGCTGGCTGGGTCTCCCGGTAGCTCTTGGCACTGTTGCGTTTTCTGACGTTTACGTATTACATGAAAATCAGCTTCCTGAACGTTCACATGGCTCCAGCATTTCCCGGAAGTGTAATAGCTTTGGAATTCTTTATGTCACCATGCAGACTCGGGGTGGGAACAATCAGCCAGCTAGTTGGTTATCCTGAGAAAGGGACCAGTGCTGTATGAGATCAGAAATCAGGGAAATTGGATAGTCCATTCTGTCTAAGGGTTTCAGTGAGTCTTCTTGAAAATTATGACTTTTCCACCCTAGACGATCTGAACTCCTAATCAGACAAAGTCCATTGGTCAATTTACCAAGGCCAGCAGCATAGGGTGTCTGTTCTGTTAGGGTGTGTGTGGCAGATCAATTAGATTATCTGTCCAGTTCAGGACTCAGCTTTGGGAGCCACACCCAGAATTCTGCTAAGTGTTTGTGGTTAAGGATGCTTTTCTTTAGTTTGGCATCTCATGAATCTCAGCCAGGATCCCTCCCCATGCAAGGCTATAACCCAGAAGATGGATATTTCTTTTTAAAACTCTCAAATGCCTTGAATTTGAAATTTTGTATACCATGCCCTTGAAAATATGCAGTGATCTTTTTTTTTTTGAGATAGGTATCATGTATCAAAGGCTAGCCTTGGACTCGCTATACATCCAAGGATGACCTAGAACTTCCAATCCTCCTGCCTCTGCCTCCTTGAGTGCTGTTCCTGGTTTGTGGGGTACTAGGGATCAAACCCTGGGCTTCCTTCATGCTATGTAAGCATTCTCTACCAACCGAGTTTCATCCCCAGCCTGTAATACATATTAATTTAAAAATCAAGCCTTAAAAACGAAAAATCCATTTCTATTATTTGTGTCAAGTTTTTCTCCAAATCACAGTAGGACATCCCTACATCTTTCTGCTCTTGCAGACCTCAGGAATCTTTCTTAACCAGTCTGGCCTTGACTTTGTGCCTCAGGAGGGAGGCGGTGGCGGCACTGCAGGCAGCTAAGAAGAAAAAGGAGAGGCAGGCCGTGTAGACGGACAGGGGACCGTGGCGCTGGAGGAAGATCTCATGCCTTCCCTGGTAGTCTAGAAGAATGGCTTCCAGCTGGGAGAGCGTGCAGATGGAAAGGAAGGCGTGGAAGATTTGATGTCCGTGGCCCACAATGTCACAGGAACCTGGGAAGTACTTCTCGGGTACCGGGCAGGAGAAGAAGTAGGCGCTAACCAGGAAGAAGACGATCTGGAGGGTGTGATACCAGGCTGCCTGTTCCTGGCAACCAGCCAGGTGACAGAGAGCCACCCGGTGAGCCACAGGGCTGATGTCCAGAATGAAGGCCAGCCCGGCTGGTACCACTTGACAGATCTTCCGCATCACTGGATAAGGCCGTCGGTAGCGATACTTGGCGTAGCAACAGCCAGCACAGGAGAGCCAGCCACAGAAAGCAGCTGCCGGCAGGAAGAAAAGCCAGAACCGCTCGTACCACGCCTGGTCCGAGCTGTAGAAAAAGTGAGCCAATGCGCTGCCATACTGATAGACGCTGACCCCGACGTAGTCCACAAAGTAAAAGGTGTAGTGAGACAGCTCTGACTTGGACTGCAGCAGGTGGGCCAAGAGGCTGCAGGTGAGGTAAGTGATGGAGGACAGGATAAAGAGGAGCAGGGGTAGGGTGTGAGGAGAGGCCCACTGCAATGCCCCAGCCTCCACAAAGGCCCAGAATCGCAACAGGACCGCTAGGGCCGCCAGCAAGTGGGTCCAGACGTTGACCACCTCGTTGTGCTTCTGAAAAAGGCTGAAGAAGTAGTAACGCCATTCGTGCCCCGTAGGGCGGTAGCCCGCATGGATGTAAGGCTCCCTGAAGAGTTGGGGCACGTCGGTTTCTGGGACAGTGCACGGCATCTTGGGAAGCCCTTCTTCCAGAATCTTGGGCAGACGGCGCAGCTGCTGCCCGCTCACAGACAGGGTGCTCAGGCGTTCCAGGATGGCAGTCGTCATGGCAGCGGTGGCCCGGGGTTCCACAGGATTCGGTAGGACAAGCTGAACGGATAGAGAGGAAAACTGAGAGACAAACGCAGCCAAGGTGGCCATAAAAAGGCATGGTTTGCACAGACAACCCGGAAAGCTAGGAGGTCCAGATGGATTCTCTGGGCCTCGCTTTCATCTGTACCGAAGAGTTGCAGCATCCTGCCTCACCCTGACAACATTCTGACGCCTTGGTTACTATTCACCAGTGTGAGGAAGAGGCATCTCTTGTATAAGGGCTTTGAGAACCTAGCATGGCCTAACGATCAGTGAGAGAGAATGATGCCTAGAAGGTAAAGATATTCTGAAAGATCACTATATTCCCTAGCTATCGCTAAATGCAACCATCAGATGCCCCTGGATTATTAAGTAGTTTGAAAGAGAAGAATACATTTTAGCTGGGCATGGTGGCACATGCCTGCAAACTCATTACTCTGAAGGCTGAGGGGGGAGGCTGACAGTTAGAGGCTAGTCTGTCCTCCTCAGTGAGTTCAAGACCACCCTGTGCTAGATAACAATGCTTATCGATAAAAAAAAAAAGTAAGGTGTCTTATTTCTTTAGCACCCAGCTAATCTTAAACTATTGACTAATCTTACTGGGAACTTTAAGCAATTAGCTGACACTCAAAGGCAGATTATTTGTAGATGAGACTTGGAAAGAGCAGTGTACACTGTTGTGGGAAATTATTTTAAGGTGTGTTATGTTTGTTTATGATGTGGAGCATTTGTTTAATGGTGCAAAGATGTGTTGCTTTTGTTTATGCTGCGTTTGTTTAACTCTGTGAAGCTGTGATTCTCTGCCTGTCTAAGACACCTGATGGTCCTAATAAAGAGCTGAACGGCCAATAGTGAGGCGGGAGAAAGGATAGGTGGGACTGGCAGGCGCAGAGAATAAATAGAAGGAGAAATCTGGAAGAGAAAGAGGAGGACTCAAGGGGTCAGTCACCCAGCTACACAGTCAGCCCGGAGAAAGAAGCAAAGAAAGATATACAGAAATAGAGAAAGGTAAAAGCCCAGAGGCAAAAAATAGATGAGATAATTTAAGAAAAGCTGGCTAAAAAGAGGCCAAGCTAAGGCCGGGCATTTATAAGTAATATTAAGACTCCGTGTGTGATTTATTTGGGAGCTGGGTGGTGGGTCCTCCCCAAAGAGCCAAAGGAGGAGTAAACAAACAAACAAACAAACAAACAACAGCACACCATGGGATATCTTAGCAGTGCGAAGCCACCAGTGTTTGAAAGATAGGCATGCTGGGTATTTTGGGTAACCCATTTGCAAAAGCCTTATCTGATTCTAGGCCATTACTTCAGTGCTGCCACCAAGTAGGTCAGTCCCAGAAGCTCAGGCTCACAGATCCCTCTGCTGGCCGATGGTGGAAACACAGCTTAGCTTTTTCTGCCTATTTTTAGAGGTATATATTCTGCTGATGGCTGATTGTTTTCTTTCTTCATTTAAAGACAAAACAAAAACACTGATTTGGCTTCTTATTTGTGTGTGTGTCCCTGTCTGTCTGTCTGCATGCACACGGGTGACATGTCAGAAGGTGCTCAGGAAAGCAAGTGGCTCGGGATCTGCCTTTCCCAGGAAGCTACATCTGTGTGTGGTGAATTTCAGACCTCTGAAATGTTTGCTGTATCCGTCGGGTTTCTAGGTGATAGTTAGGACAGGTGTACACAAGAGTTACTTCAAAAATGGATGAATTTCCACTGAGTAAATTGTGTTTTAATATGCAGGTACTTTCTGTGTCTTTTATTTTCTATGCTTTTTTTTTTTTTTAAAGAAAGTTAAATCCTTGTTTTATCTAAATGGCTTTCTTCCTTCAAAGGTCTTCAATTAAAGGGAATATAACAGGTACTTCTCAGGAAATAAAGTCTCTCAACCTCACTTTTTTTTCCTTGCCCCCCCCCCTTTAGTTTTTCATGACAGGGTTTCTCTGTGTAGCCTTGGCTGTCCGGTAGCTCACTCGGTAGACCAGGCTGGCCTCGAACTCACAGAGATCTGCATGCCTCTGCCATCCAAGTGCCAGGATTAAAGATGTGTGCCACCACTGCCTGGCTTGCACCATTACTGCTCAACTAACTTCACATTTCCTTTTCCTTTTTCTTTCTTTCTTACGATTCCTTTTTATTTTTATTGTTAATGTATATTGGCGTTTGGCCTGCATGCATGTCTTTGTGAAGATGTCAGATCCTCTGAAACTGGCGTTACAGACAGTTGTGAGTTGCCATATGGGTGCTGAGAATTGAATCAGGGTCCTCTGGAAGAGCAGCCACGGCTCATAACCTCTGAGCCATCTCTCCAGACCAACTTAACTTTACAGTTCTTGATGCTGAAAGAAAAATATCTAACCAGGTAAAAAAAAAATTTTTCAGGAATAAAAAGAAAAAAAAACGTGAAAGAAGGCTGAGTGGTGGTGGTGGCTCACACCTTTAATCCCAGCACTCAGGAGGCAGAGACAGGGGGATCTCTGTGAGTTTGAGGCCAGCCTCGTCTTCAGAGCAAGTTCCAACACAGTCAAGGCTACAAAAAGAAACCCTATGTCAAAACACACACACACACACACACACACACACACACACACACACAAACAAAAACAAACAAGAAAATCAAAGTGAAGGAAGTTTAGGGAAACCTAGAGTCAATCCTGGTTTTTGCTGCTTCCTGAACAGCCAGTTAGAACGTTACAGGTCTCAGTCTCTTCTTCATAAAACAAGGGTAACAATTTTACCTATTGTATACATTGCTGTCATGTTTAAGTTGCATGGTTTAGGATGGTGATCAGAAAATGCTAGGTAGTTCTGCGCTAGGCTCTGTGCTCAGTACTAGTACCAGATACTAGGTACTGAGCACTAGGTAGTAGGGATGCAATGACCAAAAAAGGTAGCCTACTTGCCTTTGTAGAGTTTAACGTCTGTAGTGTTGCTGGGTCGAAAGCTACGTCATGGGATTATGGGAGAAAATTGCTGTCCGTGCTCCAGCTGAGGTGCGCGATGACCCCCGGGGTCTCTGCAGACAGGGTGGGTGGGTGGATTGGGAGAGAGGTTACTTCAAGTACTTCAGTCAGGGCCTGATGAATTCCTGAAACATGAAACAAAACATAAGACTTCAGGCAGAGAGCAAACCATTTACCTTTAAATTTGATTTTATATGTGGGTATGCTTTCTGTGTATGTTATGAAATGTGTTGCCTGCATGTGTTTAAGGGCACCACACGTGTGCCTGGTGCCAGTGGAGCTCAGAAGAGTGTGTGGCTCCCCTGGAACTGGAGTTACAGATGGGTGTGAACCAGCCTATGAGAACTAGGAACTGAACCTGAGTCTGCTCTGAGAGCACCGAGTGCTCTAACCAACGAGCTCTCTCTTCAGCCCCTCCTACTTTTATTTTTGTGATGGGGTTATGTTCTATAACCCAGGCTAGCCCTTAAACATATGGAACTCCCACTTTAGCCTCCCAAGTATGGGATCTCATCACGTCCTGCAACCCAAAGAACTTTTGTTTAGTCAAACCCAGCCTCTGAGTGAAGGCCTTGTACGATAGCAGCACCAGAGACCTGAAGCTCCAGTCCTGAGCACTGTTGCTCATAAGTCATGTGCCCTCTCTGTCTGCGAAAGAGTTAATGAGAAGCTGTCTCATATGCTGAAGTAAAATCTACGAGACATAGCCTGCGAGGTATTTTAACAAACCGTTTCCTTCTAAATCCAAAACCTAATTTGCTGTACTTATTGCCACAACTTCTCTGAAACACAAGAATGGTTTGTGGGTACCTTGTTCCTCTGTCATAGCACCCATCACCCTGTACTGACACATTCCACTCAGCCAGCACTAAACAGAGGTGTCTCACCAGGTAGAGGCTCTGAACTAAGTAAAGTTCAGTGTAGGAATTGAAGGTACCAAGAGAGAAACAATAAGGATTACAGAATCAACCAGAAAGGGACACAGAAAAAGATATAGCAGAAAGTAATGGTCAGGACACCTTGAGTCACCTAAAAAAGGGGGGGAAGGCACTCAGTGTCTCTGCTGTTGGGCCAACAGAGATCAGTGCCTGGGCTTCTGTGCTCAGCTTAAAGGGCATGTACAGGGTGCCTAGGAGGTAGGCTGAATTTTCAATATGCCCTGCTGCTGTCAACAAAATCCTTTCAGGAGATGCTCGGCTTTATGGAACTCTGCCATTCATACATAAACTCCTGTGATCTCTCTTGTAAAGCAGGTAAGAAAATGAGACGAGGAGACTGGAGAGATGGCTAGCATTAAAGAGCTTGCTGCTCTTTCAGAGAGCCTCGGGTGGCTCAGAACTATCTGTAACACCATTTCTAGGGGATGTGGTACCCTCTTGTGGCCTCTGTGGCCACCTGCACACGTGCAGCATACACACACACACACACAAATAAATTTAAATCTTTAAAAAAAAAAGAAATAATGACTACCATTCCAGTTTATGGTCAGGAGAAACTGAGGGTGTCAGGCTGCACAAAAAGACACTTCCCATAGACTTCATCCGGGTATCACGAATACAAGGATATTTCCATTGTGGTGAGAGACCCATGCCAATCACATACAGTTCTGTATTCAGAATTAAAAGGTACACTACTGCGCAAATCCATCCTTCTTATCTTCCGATCCTCTAGGATAGGATGACTATTCAATGTGATCCTATGACCCGATGACAACAGAATTTCTAAAGACTAAAACTTAAGGGTTTGGTTAATGGATGGAATGAACCCTAATTCAGTTCCGAGAACGAATGGCTGCCTTTCTGCTCCGAGAGAGAAGATAGAGTGTGACCCTGTTCTCTTGATTCTCTTCAAACAGTGTTGGCTGCTGAGCCATTACAGTTCCGCCAGTCTTCCGACTGCTCACACTCCTCTTGATTCTATATTGAATTTCTACTAAGACTGAGTACTTTTACTTTGCTTTCACAAAAAAAAGCAAACTAAGAAGAGGTTTGTAGAAGTAGGAAGTGGAAAGGGATGAGACTGAAGGAATATTAACTTTAATTTCAAAGGAAATCACACACACACACACACACACTCACACACATGCACACACAACAGAATCACTATTCTCTTTGAAATTAGATATTTAAAATGCAGCCACGCCAGTCCTCCTTAACCCCGAGTGTTGTATAACCTGAAACTGGATCTTGGTAATCCAGGAATAAAGCTGCTGTTACCTCCAACCCAGAATGTGATTCCTTATCTGGCCCAACAATTCCAGGATCCCAGGGATTGAGTCTCCTTTCTAAGGATGGAAAAAGCTTACATTTCCTTTGGGAGTCCAGGGGTATGAAATTCCAAACCTGTCAGAAAGACAGGGTGCTATTTCTCTGTTATTTCCTTAGTAACTACCTCTTTGATATGAAATTCTCCCTCTTAGAGTAACCAAAGAACAACAGTCATATAGGGCACTTAATGCTGTTTTGCTAAAACACCATTGACCCCTCATTTGGGTCTACAAAAAACTGACTGTAAGATGAAAGTCTGCCATTGCTGCCTTCATGTTAGCTCTGCCATCTTTTCTTTGGGACTGTCTCCTGCCTGAGTCTCTATAAGCACATTCATCACTCAGAGTGTCTGCCTACCTAACCTGTTTCATCTTCCTTCACAGAGATAAGTCACTGTCCTAAACCTGCACCCACTTTAGATTCCACCAAAAGAGAACTTTCATGGCCCTCTTCATGCCAATGGAATCCATGACATAACAGACCGTCTTCTCACATTTAAAGATAGGTTGATCCCTTCAAGAAACAAGGGCTTCTTCAGACCACCTCAAAGACCCAGGACTGAGACTGTGATCAATCAGACTACACCTGAACCAGGATTGCTCAATTATGAAGACCTCTTGCCCCTTCGCCTCAGCTCTTCCTCCAGCCACACCTAAATCTCACGCCAGTGCCTCGAAGACCAGCCTGGGAGTCAGTAGACTCATTTGTGTGCTCCTCTTCCCAATGAATCCCCCATCTCTATTCCACCACGACTTGAGTCTTTACTTGGCTTATTGGGATAGGTGGTTAATCCTAACTCATTGTTGATGCTGGATATAATATTTTAGCTCTTAAATTCCAGTTACATACTGATCACTGTACATTATAAATCTATTAAAACCAAATTCCCAAAACACATCTTATGGCATCTTGATATCCTACCCAAATGGCCTTTATTTTCATCAACTCATGCTCACAGGAGGAGGCTGCAAAGGGCCAGCTGTAAAGTTTGAGTCAATTTGGGGAGAAACTGAATATTGACATCTCAATATTGATACAGGCACATGACTTTCCTAGGCTATGAGCAAAGACTCATCCCTAACTCCTGGGCTCTTCAGATACTATTTTTTAATGATGTGGTTAGTAGCCAACTAAGATGCTATCTCAAAATGATGTCCTCGCACAAGTCCACTCACACTCCCACCCCTTGGACAGTTGCAAGTCCAGACCTCAAGAATCCTCTTCAAATAGATAAGTCAGTCATTTGGGTCAATGAGAAGTTTCTTACAACAATAAGTAAGCCAGTCGGTGGTGGCACAGGCCTTTAATCCCAGCACTTGGGAGGCAGAGAGTGATGGATCTCTGAGTTTGAGGCCAGCCTGTCTACAGAGCTAGTTCCAGGACAACCAGGGTTACATAGAGAAACCCTGTCTCCAAAAATAAACAACCAACAAACAAAGCAAAGCAACAAGTAGTTAGTTGGTAGCCAACTCCAGACTCCAAAGGCCACAAAAGAAGATCAAAACAAGATCCCGTTCCTCAAAAAGCTTATTCTAAAGAGATTCATTCTCCAGCCTGAAATACTAGTTAGCCCAAAATCAGGTGTAAAGTGGATTTAAGCACAAACAAATGTCTATGGAACAGACTAATTGAGACCAGTCATGAGGAAAATTGACTGGTATCAGGTCTAAAGGGCTACAAAGATCTGAAATATAAAGCTAGGGGTGGGGTGGCTTCTTGGTGAGTTGACAGCAGAGGGACTATTTGAGGCAACAGGGAAGGGGATGAGGTAAAGAGTGACATCAATGAGAGGAGGTTCAGTATTATAGAAGGAAAACGAGGATTGTGCCAGGAGGGATGGCACTTCTTTATTGTCCCAGGCAGCACTTGGAAAGCAGGAGGACTGAGAATTCCAGGCCAGATTAGGCTACATTCTCAAACGTTGTCTCAAAACAACAGAAGCCAAACCAAGAAGGAAGCAGTCCCCTCCCCTTAGCTAGTTCCAATGTTTCCTGAGTGTGACTGTTACACTGGCACACTGATCTCCAGCATTTCAGCATCCTTGACAACTACGGTGGACCCAAGAAGACTTTCTGCACATCTCCATCCCGCTTCTGCTCCCAGGCCCTTAACTTCAGCTACTATCTATACCTGAAGAGTCTCAAATACTCCTCTGGCCAGACCATTCCTGAGATTGGGATTTCGCTAACCAACTGCTCTAGAAGTGTCCAGCTGCATGGATGCATGGGCTGCATGGGTTGCATGGGTTGCATGGGTTGCATGGGCATTCAAACTCAACATCTTCAAACATCTTCAGTCCGGTCTTGTTCCTGAACCCACATCTCAGGAATCCAGGCCTACTGGTTTTAACACGTCATTTTTACAACTCTCACAATGACTTCCATTATAGCAACATCAGTCCCATGAGCATCCTTTCTTCTGTTAATAACCCTCCCCTGCCTCACACCCCCAATCTTCCAAATGGTCTCCCACTACTTTCTGGAGATAGTGAAAATCACGTCTTCACCTCCTCAAACACCCAGCTGTTTACAATACAAACTCTATGCCTTGCCTTTCAAGGTGCCCTTTTCTCTGCTGACTATCTGCCTAGTTTACCCTTTGCTCCCTGAACCCAGGCCACCAGGCAATGCCAATGGCTGCGGCCTGGAAGATAGCACTGAACTTTGTTGAAGAGTGCCATCTATATATAGAGTACTCTCTATCTCCCATGCTTGCGACCTTACTACGCTGTAATCATTCAAGCCCAGCTCACTCTGCAGTGGTGTGCCTCCCCAATGGTGTGCCTAAGTCACGGCTTTGCCTGGTTCTTGTGTCCAGCCTTGCCTTTCCCTTTAACTTCTCTCCTGAACCCTGATGGT